GCTCCAAGCGGATCCTGCGCTCCAACGAGATCCTGCTGTCGTCGGCGGGGCTGACGGAGACCGACCTGCAGCTCACCTTCTCCCTGCAGGTAAACACACGGGCCTGCAGAGGTCAGGGGTCGGCCACTCACAAAAAACATACAAAAAGAATAATATTGAATATTTAATTAGCATTCGAGATGGATTTATATATAAAATATGAGGATTTCATGAAGAATGCGTTCAGGTTTTTATATATTCTCAGCATCGTGTAGTTTTACCTTTTACCATTTATTTTATTTTTCACACACAGTGTTGAACCCCCGCTCGCTCTGCTCCTTTCAGAGCACAGTTCAGTCCCATTAGGCTTTTCTGCTCTAAATCATCATTTCCAATCTCCATGTTTCTAAATGCTGCTGAAAGGTCAGGGAGTTTCTCTCTCTGGATCTTATCGAGTGCAGCGAGCCGCACATTACACACTGTGAGCTTCCTGCAGCAGCTGCTCTGCGGAGAGGCCGCAGCCCATTAAAACCAAGTGATTTCAAGTCTTTGCACATCGGTACAGGAGTCTCTTTTGTTCCATTTATAGTGCAGGTCCTTAATGATGGGTTATGTCATAGTTGGGGGTGTGACTAAGTGCTGTGACACTTCAGGACGCCGCAGAGAGGTCAGCGGGGGCGTTATGCAACGAGCCCGTTAGATCCTCCTGATTATCACGACCTGGGGAACAAAGCTCTTTCCCTCTGTGTCCGACGCCGTCGAGCAAATCAGTCGCCCACCTGTTGATCTTTTTGTGTGTTTGCTAACGTGTGCGTTTGTACCCGCAGTATCCGCACTTCCTCAAGAGGGACGCCAACAAGCTGCAGATCATGCTGCAGCGACGGAAGCGATACAAGAACCGCACCATCCTGGGATACAAGACGCTGGCGCTGGGCCTCATCAACATGGCCGAGGTACGACAACGCGCAGGTTCAGAGGATGTTTGAGATGAACCTGGCATCACTGGGTGGTTCACACACTGTTCAAGATGTTTACTATCAGGACCCAGCAGCAAAACAAGTGTAGATCAAATGCAGCTCAGAGTTTGATCCAGAGGAGTGACTGTTGGGATGAGACTCGTTAATTACGATAGACGGAGGATGAGTCTCATTCGCAGCTCAGCAGCAGATGGAGGTTAAGCTTCACATTTCAGGGCACGTCGGCTGTGAGTTGTAGTGTCAGCGGAGCCCCGGCCTCTGCAGCCAGACGAGCGTCCCCTCTGATCCGAGCTGTTAACCCGACAAACCTGCGGGTCACGGGCTCATTGCCCTGAACGTACGCGCTTCATCCAATGTTGCTGTAACTCGAGTGTCGTCACAGAGCAATTCTCTGACCTGACTTCAGCCAGAATGAAGATGATCGTCCTCACGCTCCTTCCTCCATCCTCCTCTTCATCATTCACACTTATTTACCGCTCACCTTCAGTTGACCTTCAGCTCAGACTCATTTCTAGCAAGTGCACTTTGAAATCAAAGTCGGATTTGGATCTTTGGCTCAGCGTTCTCCTCTCCGCCGCCATGAATCAAAGCTCCCATTAACTTTCAGCCTCTTCTGCCAAACACTGCTCACATTCTCTGTCTCGTACAATATGAAGGATTGTGATTCATGGCGTCTGTTCCTTCCACTGTCGGAGCGTCTGTCAGTGAAATCAGAATCATTGGCCTCGCCACAAAATACGTCATGAAGAGGAAATGACTTTAACTCAGTGTTAATCATTGAGGAAGGTTTGGTTTCCATCCTCTACACTTTCATATTAACGTTCGTAATTTCAATTTGTGTTATTCCTTGAAAAGATGAGAAGGAAAACATCAGTGGTCGGACTGATGAGGTGTTTTCTGTGAGGAAGAACAGCTCCCACACACTTTAGACTTCAGAGCCCAGAGGAAAGAAAAGAAAGAGCGTCACAGGAAGAAGCCGATGGGGTCAAACTTCCCGTCCTGGTGAATAAGTTTATCTATGACAGTGTGTTGCTGCACTTGTTGTTGAAGTCTGGCGGCCGTCTGAGTCTGACCCTGCATCTCCAATGAAGTCAGTTTTTATTCATGAGGCTGCTTTTATAGTCAGGTCGGCCATAAAAGAACTTTACAGAAGGCAGAGGACACACAACGGTTCAAACTCATTTCCATTGAGCCACAGTTAAAGTCCCCGCACCAGACTGTCGAATTATTGAGCTCCGTGTGAGAATAAGAATAATAATAACACGTTGTGCTTCTCTACTGTGGACGCAGCGTCCACTGATCCAGCAGGGATTGGGAGGAGGAACCGTCGGACTTTAATCGAGCTGTTACCCACAACATTGAACAACAAAGGGTACTTTTAATTTGTAGGAGGCCTCAGCTGAAGCTGCAGGTTTGATGCGATGTGATTGGTTGTCGGGAGGTTTTCAGAAGAACTGATGTTGTTTCCAGCTTTTTATTGTGCATTGAGAAGTCATTTTTAAATTTAGCCAGACCTCTTAGCAATAACACATGCATTTTTAATGTAACCATTACCCATAAGTCTTCAGTAATGGGAAGCATCTGCCGCTTGTTTGCTTCTCAGAACAGGTTATTTTGAATCAACCCTTTATTTCCCCTTTTCACCCTTTAACATGGCTTTAAATAAGGAAACTTCCCGCTCATGCTAACACGTAAATCTGTCGTGATCTGCGTGATAATAATATGTTTTAGTAAAGAATTCACTGCGCGTTACATTTGTCTGAGAGCTGTTTTCTCAAATGGATTCTGAAGAAGCTGTGTCAGCGTCTCAGAAGCTGAATCTGGAGTTAATCTGTAAATAAATAGTTTTGTGATTTTTGTTCCGTGCGTGATTTGCATCATTCTGCCTGTAAACTGGTTGAGATGAGCTGCAGGACGCTGCAGGACGCTGCAGGACGCTGCAGGACGCTGCAGGACGCTGCAGGATGCGTTTGAGTCGTCAGGTTAGCTGGACCTCATCCAAGCGAGCGGATGTATCGCAGCAGCGTCTTTTAATGTGTAGCCGAGGCTGTCTCCATAATAAGCTGCTCAGACTTCATTACCTCTGTGAGTGTGACCGGACTGCAGAGAGAGGCAGAGAGAGAGAGAGAGAGAGAGAGGCAGAGAGAGGCAGAGAGAGGCAGAAAGAGAGAGAGAGAGAGGCAGAGAGAGGCAGGGTGTCACTGAGACACACACACACACAGGAGACAGAAGTGATTCTTCGCACCTTCACTTGTCAGTTGTTATAGTCTTTTATTTCATGAATCCCTCACAGCTGTTTTTGTTTGTCTTCGTCCTCCTTTGTCTCTCCTTCTTTGTTCCGTTATCGTCGTCTCCTCTGTCCTCGTTTCTTCCGCTCGCTGCCGTCCAACCTGTCCCTGTGTTGATCCGTCTGCAGAGTCTTCATGTCTCTCGTCTGTCTACCTCCATCAGAAATTCAAATAACCTCATTTTGCTTGAATATGATATTTTGTCATTATTATAAAATAACGTTCTGATTTTCTTTTGTCTCAAGGAAACAGAAGCTTGTTGTTGTTTTGAAGATTGAAAATCATTTTCCTTCAATGACGCGTTCAGAAAGTGTGTGTTTATGCTCAACATGTAACAAATATTATTAAATTATTATAAATTAATGATTTATTGTGTGAGAACAGTTTGTATGCTGGATGCATGTGATCCTGATAGAATAAATAATAGTTTTAAAGGCTGAAGCTTTGCTTTTACGTTTTTTCTCACAATTCTTTTTTAAAAGATTTTAACAAATCTTCTGGAATGACATTGACACTCACTCCCTCCCTCACTCACCCACTCACTCCCTCCCTCACTCACCCACTTTCTCCCGGCCTGTCTTTCCTGCAGGTGATGCAGCACCCCAGTGAAGGGGCGCAGGTCCTGGGGCTCCACAGCCAGCTGAAGGACGCCTCGGTGCCAGTGGCTGAGATCAGAGTCTACTCCCTGTCCAGCCAGCCCATCGACCACGAGGGGCCCAAAGCCAAAATGTCTGGTAAGAACGTGACCTCACCGCCTCCGTCCCTCTCTCTGTGTCTGTCCTCGTCCTTCTTTCAAACGTCGTATCATTTGTCTCCAGATCGTTCTCCCGACATCGACAACTACTCCGAAGAAGAGGAGGAGAGCTACTCGTCTGAACAGGAGGGCAGCGACGATCCCGTTCACGGGCAGGTGTGTGAATGAAGCCCCTGGGTTGCTGTGTATTCTGGGATATGTTTGTGTATATGTGGTGCACAGACGATAAGTGAAGGTGGAAGATCAGGGGTCAAAGTTCACAACGAGTCTGAGAGTTTCATGTGTGCGTTACCTTTTCTCCCCTGGACTGTGAGAGAGAAGCCGACAGCGTGCGGGGGATGGGAAGGGGATTGGTGCCCATCGGTGCGAGAGATTGGACGTGATAGTGAAAGCAGCAGACAGACAGCAGGGGGAGATGAGGAGGGAGCGGCCAGGCTTCAGAGGTCGGATTGAAAAGACTGAAAGGAAGAAGGGATGAAAGCCGAGCGACAGGGAGGAGGAGGAAGAGGGAGGAGAGGAGCGAAGCAGTGAGCTGAGAAAGGATGGAGGGAAAGAAGGAGAGGAGAAGAACTGTGGATGAGTGCATCAGTGGCCTGAGACGATACGTGTCCAGGTGTTTGAGCACCAGGTCCGCGTTCATCGAAACAAACTGTCGCACATTAAAAGTGGAGCCGACGTCAGGAAGTGTCGATAACGTTTGCACACAGACTCCAACACTTTCCGTCATCTGGGTTTTCAGATCAGGTTTGATCTTGAGTCCTCAGAACGAGCAGAACAATGAAAATCTTCACACCCGGTGTTTCTGTGCAGGAGCGTTTTTATTACGATCTCTTCGTCTCATTGTTCTGTCGACTTCTCTTCCAGTATCTGTTCGAGGACGAGGACGAGGTGAGGAAGAAGAAGCCGAGGCGTAAACTCACTTCCAGCGCTGCCATCACCAGAGTAAGAGAAATGACGTCACCTCGTTCATCCGTCTCTCTCTCTCTCTCTCTCTCTCTCTCTCTCTCTCTCTCTCTCTCTCTCTCAACCAGCTTGTTTTGCCTGTGAATCAATTTGCAGTAAAACCCTCTTCGTGAGAAATCCCTTTCAAATAAATTTGATTTGACTGGTCTCCCCGAGCCGCCCCCTCGTCTGCCTCTCGCCTCACCTCGTTCGACCTCTCCTCCTCTCTCCCCTCCTTATCTGCTCCTCTTTCCCTCTCTCTTTCTCTGCCTCCCCCTCGCTCCTTCTCTCCCTCCATCCTCCGTTTAAATTTTTTTTTAAAAAAAATCAATTTTTTCTCCCTTTCATTCTCGATACATGTAACTCGGCCAATTTTCCAGGAGAAAACATTCAGCACTAAGAATGACTCATCACAAGGACCCCCCCCACACACACACATACACACATACACACACACACACACACACACACACACACACAGCAGCAGCATTGTTCTAACATGTCCAGATGTTTTAGAGAGAGAGTGAACGGAGGTCATGTTGTCATGACGTGCTGACACATCTGCAGTGGGAGGTGTCGACCTGATCACCTGAACAACACACTCGCTCTAACACAAGATGCAATCACACCCCCGCCTCCCCCCCTCCCCCGCCTGCACAGAGGCGTCCGCACAGTCAAACTTCCTGCGTCACACACAAACACGTCCTGATGCTGTTTCATCAGCTGCTGCTGTCGTCGAGTGTGAGAAGGAAATTACAGATCTGTCTCCTTTCATCTCTGTCTACACTTTTCATCTTGTGCATCACACACAAACACACACACACAAGCACACACACACACACACACACAAGCACACACACACACACACACACAAGCACACACACACACACACAAACGTCCACCTCTTCACTTTTCTATTTTCTTTCTCCGCAGCAACCAAACATCAAGCAGAAGTTTGTCGCCCTGCTGAAAAGGTTTAAAGTCACAGATGAGGTAGGCGTCGCAGCTTCTCTTCTGTGGTTCTCTCACTTTCTCCCCCTGTGCCTGCCCCCCCCCCTTCAGGGTGTGTATCAGCTTCAGAGCTGAGGACGATGTGTACTTTTGTGTGTACTTTTGTGTGTATTTTTGTGTGAAGGAGACACTGCAGATTAAAATAGAACAGAAATGTGTCTGTGATTTATGTTTTTCTGAGCCTCTCGGGTTTTTCTATCAACCGACAGGTGTGTGTGTGTGTGTGTGTGTGTGTGTGTGTGTGTGT